AGCAGCCTGTTTGGAGTACGGCTTGTTTTCAGGTGAAGGGTGAGTTAGCGAGAGGCCTGTTTGGTGAGTGGTGTGTTGTCGGGCGAAGAGTGAGTTAGCGAGCAGTCTGTTTGATGAGCGGCGTGTTTTCCGGCGAAGCGCGAGCGAATGAGCTGGGCAGGAGCCCAGGATTGGCGTGCACAGCTACAGCTGATCCGCATTTCTGCTGAGCCGCCCAGAAGCGCCGATCAGCTGGAGCCCAGAAGTGTGAATCAGCTATCAGGGCTCAGCAAACGCGCCAGGATCAGTGTGGGCAGGCGATGGGAATAAGAAGGAGGGAGGCAGGGTGGGAGGGAAAAAGGAAGGAAGGAAACGCCCCTCCCTCCATAGTAACCACAATGCTAATATGGCCCTCAATGAAATTGAGTTTGACACCCCTGATATAAAAGGTTGTTAAGTGAATCTGGTTTTCCCATTGACTTTGCTTGTCAAAAGGTTGCAAAAGAGGATCACGTGATCTTAAGACACTGCAGCCATCATAAATATGAATCAGTTGCCAAGCATCTGAATGTAAATCACATGACTCTGGGAACGCTGAAACCATCATAAGTGTGAAAAATGGCCATAAGTCACTTTTTTCAGCGCCGTTGTAACTTTGAACAGTCACTAAACGAACTGTTGTAAGTCGAGGACTATATGTACTTTATCACTTTTTTTGGTCAAGTTTTTGACACCTTGCTAGGCAACTGGTGGTACTCAGATGTTGCCATATCCTAAAAGTGGTACAATGGGTGAAAAAGTTGAAAAGCCCTGGTATAGAGGCAATGAGTGAAAAAAATTCTTTTTTTTTTTGTTAATAAAATTTTATTTTATTTCCAAAGTTAAAATACAAAATTAGAAAAAGAAAAAACCCTTAACAGTTGTTTTCTGGCTGCATATAATAAGTCTATCTCACAATTTCCTTCAGCTTTCCTAAGAAGATCCAGTCCATCAACCATTGGCTCCATCATCTCCACTTGTTAAAATCTTTTATATTTATGCCCCTTTCAGTCTCTTCTAGGAACTCTCTAATTCTCAAACAAAACATCTCTTTCATATCTTATTAATGACAAATTAAATTCCAGTCCACCGAGCATTACAAGTCTGATTTAACTACTGTCACCTGTATCTGAGTGTCATCTTTAGGTGATGTAAAGCTGTTGTTAATTCATCAGATCTTCTGTTTAGATTTTCATCTAGAGTTTGTAAATTGAAAAACATGTTTTTTTATATTGGGGGGGCATTGTAAAAGAATGTAGAGTGTATAGTGCTCAGAGTCTTTCATTTATTACTGCTGTAATTTTAATATAGTCCCAATTCCTCTTATGACCGAACCTCCACAACAAAGCATAAGCAATTTTGTCTCAAGGACAAAGAGAGTAAATGTTCCGTAATAGAGTAAGCACAGAAGAAACAAATAATAGTTCCCACAGTGGAGAGTAAATAAAAAAAGGGAGAAGTTCCTGTTTCTTTTAAAAGGAAATAAAAAAAGACCAGCAATATATTCCAAAATAGAGTAAAATAACAAAATTAGTTTAAGAACAAATGAAATACCAAATCCTTAAATAGAAATCCATAGAAATGTAAATTAAATTTAATCACTTTCACTACCAAAGGGAAAGTGCTCATGCTGTCGATTTCCATGCAGCAAAAGAGAATGTTATTTAAATCCAAAATAAAATAATATGAAATATTTACTTCCGTAATTCGAAAACGGGTTATAACATAAATCAGCATTCACCCAGATGTTTAATAGTTAAAAATGTAGTCAAGACAAAAGTAAACTTCAAAACATGATATTAAAACCAGGGTGTGCCTAAAGAAACAATGACTGGAAAAGATGAAAAACAAACTCTCTGGCTGGGCTTGCCAAGAATTGCGATCAGCTGATTCCCAGGCAAGTACACAGACATTTAACAGTCGTTATGGGTTATTCCAAGTTAGTCTGGTTCAAGACCTGGAGAGCATGCTGCCAAAGAACCGGCTTTGACAACAAAATCAGCTGTTTGTCAAGAGGAAAAAAAATATCACCACATCTCTCAATGTGCCATTTTATGGATACGCTAAATTTCACTGTAAATATATGAAGAATACTGAATAGGTTCAGAAGTAGGGAAAGACCAAGAAAGTTAGATGGAGCTGATATCCTACAAAAGCAAGAGGAGAGAAATTCAAAAATCAGAAGTAATGCAATATGTATGTATCATTATATGAGCATGGTGAAAGCAAGTAAAGATTTACAAAGACTGAAAAATATGGAGAGGTATAGATACTGATATAAACAAGATTTAATTATATTTTATTTTTTCTTACTTCATGCCTTATTTTTTTTCTTACCACTATTTACTGTTTAGCTATGCTTACATTGAACAAAAATGGCATGAAGGATATTACATATGGATGTATGCAGAACCATTTGAAGTTATGTTGAATCTTCCCAGAGCTACTTGTAATCTGTTTTGGAGTTACGATGCCCTCATTTTACACACACACACACACACACACACACACAGAGAGAGAGAGAGAGAGAGAGAGAGAGAGAGAGAGAGAGAGAGAGAGAGAGTCACATGATCATAAGTGACACATCTTTATTTATTTAACTTACATGCTGCCCATCTTGTCTAGAGGCAATTCTAGATGGCTTACAATTGGGGCACTAGGCCAGTTGGCACAGATCTTTCAGAAGGCTTAAAAGCATGGCTGTGGATTTTACTGTGAAAGGCATGATGTTCCAGAAGGCGGGAATCTTAATTGCTGTTTGCACCATCCCACAGTCACATAACCATCATTTGCAATGCTTTTTGCCAGATTCTGACACTTACTTCAGTTTCTGGAAAAAAAAGCCTATTTGGGAGAATGAATTAACCACTGTTACATTTTATTAATGATCACTGTAAAAATGATTGTAACTTTGAATGTGGTTACATGATGTTAAAATTGCAACAGCTTATTACTTTAATTCTGGGCACAATACCGGTAATAAGAACCAACACATTCACATTCTTTTACATGTATGCTTTAGGGACACAACTTTTAAGCCTCACAATATAATCACAACATAATACATAGTCCTCGAGTTATGAGTGTAATGGAGCCTGTCCATTCCAACTCATAGAGTGAATCTCGTATCTCGAACGAGATCACTCCCTTGTTAAAACGCATGCGGCTCGTTAAGTGAACATGAAGTATCTCAGGGTGGGGAAGGCCTAGTGATGGAACAGGCCCCCAAGGCCTCCCCGACCCACTAAGATACGCATGCTTCCCCCTCGCTTCCTGATGATCCATCACTTCTCTGCCATAGTTCCTGCTGCCGCCCGGATCTGAGGCCGGGGGACGCTTCCGCGCCCCTCCCACGGCCTGATCTGGGCTCTGGAGGCCTTTTCCAGGCTGCTGCCACCCTGATTTGAGGCCGGGGAATGCTTCCACACCCCTCCCGCAGCCGGATCCAGGTTCCAGAGGCCTTTCCCAGGCCACTGCCACCCGGATTTGAGGCTGTGGACACTTCCGCACCCAGCCATGGTCCGATCTGGGCTCCGGAGGCATTTTCCAGGCTGCTGCCACCCAGATCTGAGGCTGGCAAATACTTCTGCAGCCCCCCCCCACCTGGAAACCATCTCCGGAGTCCAGATTGGGCCGCGGGAGGGCGCAGATGCATTCCCCAGCCTTAGATCCGGGTGGCAGCGGCCTGGAAAACGCCTCCAGAGCCCGGGAGGCATAGAAGCTTCCCCTGGCCTCAGATATGTGCCTCCGGAGCCCGGATCTGGCTAGGGGGTCACAGAAACATCCCCTGACTTCAGATCTGGGTCACAGCAGTCTGGAAAAGGCCGCTGCTGCCGCCAGCGCAATGCACCATGTGGCATCCTGCCGTGAGCACCAGAATTGGCCACGTGGCCTCCTGCTGCAAGCGGCCGCCAGCAGACAGAAGTGGGATAGCAGCCACGCAGGCTCCTGCTGGACAGGTCTGCTGGTGCCACCGCCACGAGGCAAGGCAGGTGTCAGGGAGTGGGAGGCCTGGCTGAAGGGGCCTTGAGGTAAACAGGTGCGGGGCACATGGGGCAGCTCCACCCCCCACCCCTGCCCTAGCTTGATTTTTATGCCTGCACCTCACCCCACTTTGTAGAACCAGAAGGTGGGACAGTGGGGGGGTCTTAACTAGTGCTTATTTTTGGAGTAGGGCTTATATTAGGCGTACAAACTAGGTCTCATTTTGGGATAGGTCTTATTTTCAGGGAAAGATGGTACATATGTTATTTTTGAGAAGCTCATATATATGATAGGAATGAAACCCCAGACAGGAAATCCAACATATACTGTATATGATATGGGGCCAGAATAAGGCCATCTACTTCATCCTATCAAATCTTATTGGGTAGGCACTGTCCTTAGCACTGGGATAGCACTGAGGTGGATGAGAGGATTTAACAAGGATGTTGAAAGCTTAACTTTGGTTTTTAATGTTTATGGTTTTAATAGATATAGATATGCTTTTTTAATTGATGTTATTTAATTGTTGATGGGAGCCCCCAGAGTTTGATATAAGATGGCTGGATACATAAATGTTTTAATTAAATAAATAAATACCTCAAGGGTGATAGTCAAATCATTAATCTAATTAATTAAATCAATTAATAAATAATTCATATACAGATCTTTTATTTGCTTAGATTCAGATGTTGATAATGTATAGCTCTCCAGATGTTGGATTCCAATTCCCTTAAAGCCAAGGCATTATGGTCAGTGGTGATGGTTACTGGATATTATAGTTCAGTAAGATAACTTAACAGAACTGCTGACTATATCGTCTTCATATTAGTAATTTTATAGTGGAGAAAATTTCAGTGCATACAGTGGGTAGTCTCAATTTACTGAATTAGTTTCAATTTATAGTATCTACCATTTGTATTAACACTAAATATTACTGCTTTTATTTTGTTTATGCACTTATGCTTACTAATTTATTTTTAATTGGTATTTTCTTTCAGGGATTCTACAAATGAAACTACTGCACATTCAGATGTTGGTAGTGAATTGGAAGAAACGCAACTGAAGGGGAAAAGAAAACGTGGTCGTCCTGGTAGACCTCCAGTATGCTATTTTTTCTCTCTGAATATCTGTTAATATTGTACCATTTCATTTTTTTAATTTTCACATTAGCAATTGTTGATGCTGCTACCTATTTGAAGACTTGCGCTGTATATTGTAGAAGTGTCATGCCGGCATTATTTATTATTGCAGGAGTTAACTAACTTGTAAGAAGAATTGACTTTTCATATTACATTTTTAAAAAATATATACTGGTTGTTGTTTTTGCCCAGCAGTGAGCAACCTCATAAGCTCCATATATTATGAGGTAGGTCAGGGCTAAAATATCAATATATAGCTCATTCATATGTCTTGGGAGTTGTAAAGAAAAACAGTATGGAGAAGGATCCAATCTCTATTCCAGCCACTTGCTGCCTCTCCTGTAACTGATTTGTGAAAGACTGAAATATATGGTAATGATGTCATACAATATGCAATTTAAAAAATGAGGAAAAGAGAACAAAAATAAGATCTGGACATTTTTATCATTAAAAAAAGACAAGAAATTTGATGGAATTGCTTAAAAGCCATCTTCTTTAACTCTTTATTAAATAAACAAACCCAAAACAAAATATAGCAGCTCCCCAGTTCATATGTTAATAAGCAACACATTATCAGTGCTCCAAATCAGGTTGCTTCTGTTTTGCCAGTGTTACATTGTAATTGTTCTGTAACGTGTTATATAATAACAACAACCATCCTCTATATGTAAACATTTCACAATCCTTTTCCTCAATAGATTCCAAATAATGAAGATTATAGCCAAGAAGGATATGTATGTCCATGTTACTTAGTAGTCTAAACTCATAGTAACAGGCTTATGGATGTTAATCCAAATGTGGAAATGGCAGGGAAAGGCAAGGCCAGATCATCTGAATGAATGTTTCTACTCTTGAATTGCATTTCTGACAGCAAATAAATTGTAACCAACTCTTACTAAGCATTTTAAGGTGTTATTCGTGTTAAGGTAATAAGTTACATTTTTAAAACAATCTTCTACTGTTTATCGAAATACGACATTCAGGCAATAAATTTTACCAAATTTCTTCAGCATCTTATAAAAACAAACTACAGGTTTAGAACTCTATTTTTCCAAAATCTCTATCAAATATGGAATATTAGAAACTATAGTATCATTAAGTAACTGACACGTTCATTAAAAGTACTATCAAGAAATATGTTGGAAAGTCTGTTTAATTCTTCATAAGTTATAAACACTTCTATTAGAACTCAGTTAGCTCAAAGTAATAATACATGGAATGAGAGTTTTCCCCAAACAGATTCTCCCACTACTATATTTTAAAAAACTATTTCATGATGTGAGCTATTCATAGTCTAAAGGTCAAATTATATCTGTGACCCAGTAATTTCCGTATTTATTTTATAACATTAATGCAGGAATTGAAACTGATTCCTGAAGAAAGAATATATATGCTAGTGGGGCTGTGCATGCTTTTAAAATTATTTGTAAAAAGGGCTTCAGATCGTAGACAAGCGTCGCACCTGCTATTCATTAAAATATGCATAGCTTTCTTGTCAAGTTTCAGATAAATATGCTTTTGCAAGTTCCACTACACTTGTTCCAAATAATTTATGATATGTGCAAGCAGTCTTACTGGTTAGAATTTCAGTTAATCAATTTGAACTTTTCTGAAAGTTCTGATTCCTGCAACAAAAACAAAATCTATGATTTAGAACAGGGGCTCCCAACCTATGGGTTGCAGCCCACTACCGGGCCGCGGCCTCTTGGCAATGGCTGGCCAATGCGCACATGTGTACCTGCGCACTCCCACTTGCACCAGCGCCTGCGGCCCCGTTTGCATATGTGCACGGGTGCGAATGGGATTGCTAGCACCGGGCGAGTGTGCACAGCTCATTTGCACATGCGTGAATGGGGCCACTAGCACCAGGCAAGTGTGTGCGGCCGATTTGTGCATGTGCAAACGGGGCTGCTAGTGCCTCACCGGTGCACATGGCACCATTTGCATGTGTGCATGCGCACCAATTTGTAAGCTGCTCTTCTTCCCTCTGGGCTGCGAGCCTGGAAAGGTTGAAGACCTCTGACAGAAGTACAACTAAAGTAATGTGAAGGAATAAAAATTGGAACAACTCATTAAATATATGTATCAAGTTCAGAGTTAATTTTTTCTGTAACGTTTGTTTTAACACAACTGCTCCAGGAAATTCTAGACACCTCTCCAGGCTTTCTTTTATTTTAATTGAAATTGGGGATTCACCAATTCAGAAAACTTAGTTATTTATAAAAACTTTATAAATAAAAGAGAACATAATCTAAAATACCAATTTCTAAACATGTCAAAGTTATTATTCATAATAAAGTCTAATTCATCCCATTATATAGTATGATCATGCATGCCACCAAGCTTGAAAAAAAAAATTAAGAATATAAATTTCTGCTTTATCTCTAAAGCATAACATCACCTGCACATAGCAGAAATTTATACTCTGCCTCATCCCTTCATAGTTTCAAACTTTCAAACAGATTGGGACTATACATTTATAGAATTAGGATTTCTTTTTTCCAAATTTAAAAGAAGAAATCACCCTTGACATTTACTGCTACATACATATTAACAAAATCACTGTTAGTTTTCAGGATAAGCAATTTCTGCAAAGCAGACTAAAACAATAAGCTGTAATTAAGCTAAGAAATAAAAATCAGAAGATAAGAGTAAAGAAAAGGAAATCTGACTAAATCTATAGTACTACAATTCACATTACTTTTATATCATTGCAAACCATTTGTTTATCTTACATCTACCACCATGCCCATGTGCCATCAGAAGCAGAAATACGTTCTTGCTTGTTTTGCTGTGTGACAGTAATTTGAGTTTGAAAGAATGGGTGTTATAGGCAGATAAAGATCAGTTAAATTTAGAATCAGTTAAATTTAAAAATGAGATATCTTAGTTTATAGGCAATTACTTTTAATGAGTTCTTAAATTATTGCTTTCTGTTTAAATATGTAAAGAAATATTTAAATAGTTTCTTGGAATTGTGCGTGGAATATGGTATACAGGTATATAGAACAGGTACATACTGTATGTCTATTGGGGGTGGGACAGAATATTACATGGAATTTTTCTCCCCTCCCCCATAGTTGCTTGGATAGTTGATAAATTGAAACAAAGGAATATAGCTAAGTCTCTGGTCCCCTAAAGAGCTTTTAATACCATTGATTAGTGGCATCATTTGGCTTCTTTTGTGTGTGATCCACCCTGTAAGGCCATATTAGCAGTGTGCTGGGGGGTTACTGTTTAATTACTATGGGGTGTAATGCAACTAATGATCAGTTTAATAATGGGCAGGATGGGGGAAAATATCCAAAATTAAATCCAGATAAGCAGAAATATTCTGGCATGTAGAAAAGTAAATTTGGAAAAATTCTTTGTTTGAATGGGTTTATACTTCTCCTGAAATAGCAAGTTCACTATATGGAAATGATCCTTGATCTTCAAATCTTATTAGGTTCACAGGTGGTGGCTTTGGCAGGCACTGTATGGATGGCTAGTGTGCCAATATATGACTGTTTAGGGCCTGTGAAAATTATTCACAAGTTTTGCAAAACACTGTACTTAGAATTGCCTGTGGAAAATGTCTAGAAGTTACAGTTTGTGTATATGCAACAACTAAATTACCAACCAGGGAAAGTTCCTGGTGATGAAATATCAGAAAAACTTAAAAAAATGGTGAGGGAAGTCCAAAAGTGAATATGACTGACCATGTATACAAGCATATGTTCCAAATCTGAATGTATGGTGTGGCAATAAGGAAGGCAAAATGTCATTATTTCTCTTCCATTTATATTGATGGCTTGTTGATAGATGATTGTTTAGGCTAGTAAATATTTCCTTGGAGACATGGACCAAGACCATCTGTTTAGCCTCTGTGATTATACTTGGATTTGCAGAGTTTTGACTCCTCCTAGAAAGAATCGGATGTGACTAGGGAGTTGTCAGACTTTGTTATCTGGAGCTCCTTTGGGCCTGTAAATTGAAGAATCAGATTTTCAGTGGCATGGCCCGGTCACTTATGTATTTGACCAATGCTCCTCATGGCTCTTGGATGAGCTAGTGTGCCCTATTGAATTTGGTTACTGCTTCTCTGTAGATGCCAGTGCCAGAAGTCTTGAAAGTTCTGTTTCATTTTCTTAAAAGTCAACAAAATTGACAGCTATCACCTACTCCTTTTTCGGGGGAAATTGTTAAGCATATAGTTGCAGAACACTCTAAAGGAAATGGATTATTTGTACTCTTTTTAGTCAGGATTTAGGTATCAAACTGTCTGAGAAGACCCATCTAGGACAGACATGTCAAACTCACGACGTCACGTGACGTTGCGCAACGTATCGGAGCTTTTCCCCCATTGCCGGCAATGGGGTGGGCGCGGTTTCTTCATCACTCATCCAGCCCGCAGGCTGACAGTTTGGCACCCCTGATCTAGGAGGAGCTACTGGTAGTGCCCAGGAGGCTGAAATGAGAAAGCCTTACTTTTCTATCATACTTCTTTGGCAAAGTGCTGATAATGGTGGTCTCAGAGCTACTGAAGTCTGAACTTTTCCACTGAGCTTTTGGAATGTAATTTTTTGTCATTGTTACAGTGTCTAATTTTTTGTTTGCTTTTTGTAACTGTTATTTTTAGTCTTGATTCAACAAGTTGGGGTTTTTTGTGTTATTGCGATTGTTTAGTTTATTTCTTACCATGATTGTTTACTGTAATCATTTTTATTTGCTATGGATTTTCTATTGTATTTTATCATTTTGTAGGGCCATCAGGATTCTGAATGCTTTGCCAGATTATGATAATGATAGTGATTATGATGATGGTGATATTTAAAAGCTCTGCACTTAATTGACTTGTTTACCAGACATAATTTAAGATCCGTATGATATCTTTAAGATATCCTAAGAGATATAAGGCATGCTAGTCTGAGGAATTCTTTCCTGTTACAAACCGGCTCAAGATCTCTAAGAGATGCCTTT